CGGCGGCGGCGGCGGCGGCGGAGGCGGCGGCGGCGGCGGATTGGCCCCCAGTAGCTGCCCATCCAAAGACGACTGCTGAATATGCTGAGGCTCGGGCCAGACTCGGGTGCTACGTATGTGTTGGGAGGGCGGGTGGGAGTGAGCGAGACGGCTTGCAGGCGGGGAGGGGGTCTTGGCCTCAACCTCAGCCTCAGCCTGCCTCGGCTTGCCTCAGCGCCGGCCTCAGCCTGCCTCGGCCTCAGCCTGCCTCGGCCTCAGCCTGCCTCAGCCTCCCCTCCCCTCCCCCCCCCTCCCCCCCCCCATTCAGCCTCACCTTGTCTCAGCTTCGGCCTGCCTCGGCCTCATCCTCAGCCTCAGACTCAGTCTCAGCCTCAGCCTGTCTCGGCCTGAGCCTTCCTCGGCCTCAGCCTCAGCCTGCCTCAGCCTCAGCCTGCTCAGCCTCAGCGTCAGCCTGTCTCAGCCTCAGCCTGCCTCAGCATCAGCCTCAGCCTCAGCCTCAGCCTCAGCCTCAGCCTCAGCCTGCCTCGCCTTGCCTCGGCCTCAACCTCAGCCTGCCTCGGCCTCAGCCTCAGCCTCAGCCTGCCTCAGCCTCAGCCTCAGCCCGCCTCAGCCTCAGCCTGCATCAGCCCCGGCGTCAGCCTGCCTCAGCCGCAGCTTGCCTCAGCCTCAGCCACAGCCTCAGCCTCAGCCTCAGCCTGCCTCAGCTTCAGCCTCAGCCTCAGCCTGCCTCGGCTTGCCTCAGCCTCAGCCTGCCTCGGCCTCGGCCTCAGCCTCACCCTGCCTCAGCCTCAGTGTCAGCCTCTAAGCCTCAGCCTGCATCAGCCTCAGCCTCAGCCTCAGCCTGCCTCAGCCTCAGCCTGCCTCAGCCTCAGCCTCAGACTGCCTCGGCCTCAGCCTGCCTCAGCCTCAGCCTCAGCCTGCCTCAGCCTCAGCCTGCGTCAGCCTCAGCCTCAGACTGCCTCGGCCTCAGCCTGCCTCAGCCTCAGCCTCAGCCTGCCTCAGCCTCAGCCTGCGTCAGCCTCAGCCTGCCTCAGCATCAGCCTCAGCCTCAGCCTCAGCCTCAGACTGCCTCGGCCTCAGCGTGCCTCAGCCTCAGCCTCAGCCTGCCTCAGCCTCAGCCTGCCTCGGCCTCAGCCTGCGTCAGCCTCAGCCTCAGCCTGCCTCGCCGTGCCCCAGCCTCAGCCTCAGCCTGCCTCGGTCTCAGCCTGCCTCGGCCTCGGCCTGCCTCAGCTCGGGCATTCAAAATATGGCAATACTCTGATGTTCTGGGAACACGAAGATCACGAAATGGCCCACAGTTGGCTCTGGGCAGTCAAAATATGGCCGTGAAGTTCCTGAACAATTACAGGAGAGGTTTTACTAAAGTGGTCTATGGTCGTCCATGCGGTCGCCAATTATCCCGGCAAAGCAACCTAACAGCGATGTGTAGAAGCATAATTGAAAGCATTCCCCTTAAGATTCAAATGAAAATCCAGTTGTAGAATTCTGCTGTTCTCGCAGTCGTAGTCGCATTCGCGATGACAGTCGCAGCGGCAACGGCAGTCGCAGTCACAGCCTCAGCCTCAGCCTGCCTCAGCCTCAGCCTCAGCCTGCTCAGCCTCAGCCTCAGCCTTCAGCCTCGCCTCAGCCTCAGCCTGCCTCAGCCTCAGCCTCAGCCTCAGCCTCAGCCTCAGCCTCAGCCTCAGCCTCAGCCTGCCTCAGCATCAGCCTGCCTCAGCCTCAGCCTCAGCCTGCCTCAGCCTCAGCCTCAGCCTGCTTCAGCCTCAGCCTCAGTGCCTCAGCCTTCAGCCTCGCCTCAGCCTCAGCCTCAGCCTGCCTCAGCCTCAGCCTGCCTCGCCTCAGCCGCCTCAGCAGCCTCAGCCTGCCTCAGCATTCAAAATGTGGCCCAGGATGGAGTTCTGGGAAATAGAAGAACACGAAGTGGCCTACAGTTGGCTCCGGGCATTCAAAATGTGGCCCGGGAGTGGAGTTCTGGGAACTTTGAAGAGCACGAAGTGGCCTACAGTTGGCTCCGGGCATCCAAAATGTGGCCCGGGAATGGAGTTCTGGGAAGTCGAAGAGCACGAAGTGGCCTACAGTTGGCTCCGGGCATCCAAAATGTGGCCCGGGAATGGAGTTCTGGGAAGTCGAAGAGCACGAAGTGGGGCAAAATGTGGCCCGGGAATGGAGTTCTGGGAGGTCGAAGAGCACGAAGTGTGTGACTGTTTGCAAAAACGAGTGCGGCGGCAGCCGCGGCGGCAGCCTGTCCGGGTCCCGCCCAGACCCCCCCGAGGAGTCATGATGCTCTCTTTTGAGACCACTAGAAACCTATCAGCAAGAGCTGCTAGGTAAAAATCAAACAGGTAACCCATGTGGTCGCCCACATGGTCACCCCAAATCAATCTACTAGTTCATATGGTCGCCAAAATGGCAGCCACGGAATTAACCACCATCTTATGTGGTCACCACGATGGTCGCCGAAAATACCATTGCACGCCGCGCGGTGGCAACGGAGGTCGCACAGCATAAAGGGCGGCTGAGCGAGCAGTCGCCCGAGTGTTAGCCCCAGCGGGCTGCAAGACCCGCGCGCCGCTCGTTGATGTCGCCGCCAGCGCGGCTCGGGAAATTAGCGCAGCTGGCGACGAAATCTCGCGTTCAGCGTCATGCGCTGGCGTTGCCGCGCTGGGCGCGCGCTGCCATCTTCTGCGCTGGGTTCTGACCTCTGTCGAGCCGAGCCCCGCGCGGAGACATGGCGCTGGCCGCGCTAGCGGCATGGACGGTTCAATGGGGACCGACAGGCGCGCCGACAATGAAATGCGGCGGCGGCCGCGTTAAGTCGCAGTGGCGGGCGCTGCTGTCTCAGCAGAGGCGGCAACGGTGATCGCGCGCGGCCCCTGCAGAAGCATCTGTGCGCGGCTGCGGTCGCGATCGCGGTCGCTGCCGTGACAACGGTAGAAGTTTCAGCGCACCTAGGCCAACAGACGCGAACCTGTGGCAATGACAACTGGTGCATTTATTGTTGTGGCCTTGCTGCTCGTCGCGGCACCTGCCGATGTGCATGAGGTTTCCCGCAGTCGCCAGTCGCGGTGGCGACCAGGGAGGCGACGTTGCGCTCTCAAGCGCAATGCCGCTACACAGCTCGCAGGACACAGCCACGCGACTACGTCGGATTTTTGGTTTTCGCAATATATATATATATATATATATATATATATATATATATCAAACTCGGAGGAGCGAGGGCGATGAGGGAGAAGAAAGGAGGACCCGCCCACGCCCCCCTCCGTCCAAGTCGCCTTCCCCGTCTCCTTCGAGCTATTAGCCATCGCCCTCCCCCCCTCCCCCATTGCCCCAGCCTCCTCCGCCTACCCTCGTGCTCTTCCTGACCCACCCGCCTTCGCCTTCCTCTGTGGCGGTAGCGAGCAGGGGCGGCAGCAACCACCCAATTCATTTCCTTTCCATGGAGGGTTCACCGTCGCCTCTGGCAGAGGCTGGTCACAAACAGCCGTGCGACGTGCGCCGCGCAGCATGCAGCGTGATCACGTACCGTTGTTTTCAAGGGTCTCATATTTGTACTGTTAGCATACATACACACACGCTTTCCATCTGCTGCGGCCTGCTGCGCAGTCCACCTGCTTCGGCCTGGAGCGGCACGGCTTGGCATCGCCAGGTCGCGCGGGGCCAGCGCGTGCAGGCCTGCGGCGCGACCGCGCCAAGTAGAGAAACGTTGGCCCACCCTGATCTGCGCTGCAAGCAACGCCCCAGGCGCGTGCCAGCGCGGACCGACTATACTTGTATATTCACTGCTTGCGCTTCACCTCGGCCCTGTCCTCGAACAGGCGCATCAGCGCGGGAGGAATGAGGCTGCACTGCTCATCGCTGAGGAGCGACAGGTGGTGCTTGAGGTTCCTCTTCAACTTCAGCGGCGTCGACTCGAAGTCCCTGCAGCACACCATCATCAGGCATGTTCCGTAGGTTGCGTTCGCCTGGTTCAGCGTCTTGCTGATCAGTTGCATCTGCTGAGAGCGGTCCGCGTCCTGGTCGCCGAAGAGGTCCCGAGCCTGCTTGGCCGCCGCATGCTTCGACGAAACCACCTCGATAGCACCCTTGATCTGAGAAGGCCAAACGTTCTTGAATAGCGTGGTCGTGGCTCTCTCGAGCCACGGGTTCATCTCTGTCCAATTCTCGCCGCCGTCGAAACACATGCCAGTCTCGCTGCCACTTACCATGGCAAACGCGAACAGCTTCTGAGCCGCCGCCATGGCGGCGGCCACCTTGGAGGAGCAGTCGCGGCCAGACAGCGCGCCGAGCAACTCGTTCAGCTGGCTGCGCCAGCGGCCCGAGAAGTCCATGCCGATCTTATGTTGCACCTGAAAGGGCTCTGCAATCCCGCTGCCCCGACGCCGTCGCGCGCGACTTCACCTACGTACCCTTCCGCGGAGGCTGACATCAGAATGGGCCGCTGAAAGAGCAAGTGTCGGGGCACGGGTCAGAGGGGGGGTCTGAGGGCTGCAGGCCGGGGCGGCAGAGTGACGACGGTGGAAGGCGGGGGGGGGCAAGAAGAGAGGAGCTCTCGAGAGGGGGAGGGGGGGGGGGCGGTGCGCGCGGGGGCCTGGAAGGCAAGGCTTGGCCGCGCGCGTCGGCATTGAGGCAGCCAGGATGTTAAAGCCGCCGCGCCTCAGAGAAAGTCGCCACCGCGGCAACGAACTGGCGCGCCTGCGCCGAGCCGTCACTGTACCCGAGGATCTCCTCAGCAGTGGTGCCGATCCTGCGGTGCGCGATCATCGTCTGGAAGTCCCACTCGGGCTTCGCCAACTCAGTGAATGCCACTTTGATCGTCGTCATCTCATCGTTCAGCTCAGCCTTGAGACCCAGGAGGGCGATGCCGAGAACGGACGCCTTCACGATGTAGCGGCGCGCGCCTTCTGTCATGTTGACGTCCTCGCCCGTGCCCATGCGCCGATGCAGAGCGAGGACGAAGAAATCGATAATCTGCTCCAGAGGCGGGGGGGGGGGGGGGCCACGGCCAAGCCGAAGTCGCAGAAGACCTTCACCTGGGCAGTGAGGCTGGCGATGTCCTTGCGGCGGTTCCCACGCTCGCCATCGAACGCAAACTCGCCCAAGCCCTTGATCATCGTGGCGACGTGGTCGTCGATGCTGCTCTCCTTCTGGGTCCGAGCGATGAAGCTGCTGAAGTAGTCAGCCCGTGGCAGGCCGAAGCACACGTCATACGTGATCGCCAACAGCTCCTTCAGATCCACGACCTTGTCCTTCGCGAGTGCGTCCTGCTCGATCTGCTCCGCGAGGCCGTCCACGACCTGCAGCGTCGCTCGCTCGACGAGGGGCCTCCGCTTCACGCCCTGGCCCTGCCGAAGCTTACCATGAGCATCCTTCAAGAGCGCCCAACCCCGCATGACCATGGCCGCATCGTTCTTGAAAGTGAACTCGCCCCTGTTGGGCAACTGCTTCTCGAGGTTCTCAATGCGAGGCGCGTGCGTATCGCAATCCTTGCGCGTGCGAAGGAACTCAGACAGGAGCGCCTTGTAGTGACTGTTCTGTTTAATGGCCGTCAAGATGGGGAACGGCATGCTACCTCCAGCCTCAGCAGCTTGCAAGCGGTCGAAGTCCTTCGACGATGCCTCGTGGGGCATTGGCACGTCGGTGTCCGCCAGCATCACCACCATGACACCGCGGAAAACAGAGCACAGCTGGTCGGCTCGTTCCTCGCGCGGCTCGAAGCCAAGCTGCCCGTCATCAGAGGCAGTGGTGATCATCTCGAGGACCATTGCGATGACGCGCAGCAGCGCGTCGTGGCTCTTCTCGCCGTGCTTGATCATGGGCGCGAGGATCTTTGCCAGCAGGGTGTCTCTCAACCTGTCCATCTTCTCGGCAGGGCTGCCCTCGATGTGCCGAGCAAGGGGCTGACTAGCGTCGAAGGTGCCCGAATCCTCTGACACTGGCCACGGGCTGATCAAGTTCAGGAGCGCCTTGGTTTTTGCTTGGCCTTCGTGGGGTTGACCTTCGCTAGCTGCGACATCCACGTTGCCTTGATGGGGTCCGTTTTCAGCAACTCCGATACGTCTGGAAAATCGTGGACGGAATCTCTGGGTCCTCCTCCCGCCCTGGATTTCGCCGCTGATGATGCCAAGCCGATCCTGATGCCGTCGACGCTCTTCTCGGGGGTCGCGGCGGCGCCAGCGGCAGAAGCCGCGTCGCCCTGAGTGTGGCACCTCCACCCACGACGCTCTCGCCCCCCAGACCGTCAACCTTCTCCGATGCCGAAGGCTCCTCGAGCATCGCCGCAAGGTCAGCGTCGCAGCCGCCCTCCTGAAGCCTCTTCTGTCGCTCAGCCTCCTCCTGGTCAGTTCGCTTCTTCACTGCGCGGGCCAGCAACGTGGAAAGGGAAATGACTGCACAGCCTGTGGGGTCGAGCTCACCCTGGAAAGTATTCTTCGCATGGTCGTGCACGAAGTCGCCCTGGGACTCGTGGGCGGTCAGGTCTGGGCGGGCCAACAGGTTCGATAAGGACACGCTCTCGGAGAACTCGAAGGTGAGCGTCTGAGGAGCACCCTCCAGATCACTCGTGAGAACGCCCAGGGTCGCCGCGCCCATCTCGTCCCAAAGCTTGAAGCATTTATACCCGAGCTGCTCTGGCATGTGCTTGAACTTGTTGAAGATCTCTGGGCGGGCCCAGAAACCGAGGACGCGCTGGCAGGATGCCTTCTGTTCGGAGACCTGCTCGACCTCCTGGGGAGAGAAGTGGTCCAGCGACGCGCCGTGATCGATCATGTGCGTCGAAGCGTCGTCAAACGTCTTCTTGAATGCCTGGTCATCGCCGTGCTTCTGCCCTGCATCCTCCTCTGTCATGCACGAGAACCCAATGAACCATGGTGCATAATGGGTTTGGCAACATATGTTGTTATCCTTCTTGTCCGCTGCAGCCGGTCTCTTATCGCAGGTGTCGAAGCAGCAAACAGTCCTACTCTGGCGAGCGAGCTTGGGCTGCACGTGCCTCAGCATCCTTCACCTTCTGCTGCTGCGTCCTTCTCTTCCTCGGAGCAGCGCCAGCTGCGCCTGAAGCAAACGTGCTGGCGGCGAGGCTCAAGACCGTTCCAGTGCCGTCATCGTCTGGCGCGTCGGCGGAACCTCGGGCGCCGCTGAGCTGCTTCTCGACAACCTTGCGAGCAAGCCTCTCCCTGTTCGCCATCACTGCGGGTGAGGGGCGTTGGTCTAGCCGACTGTCGGCGTGCGAATCGCACCTGTCACAGCGACATTCGAGCCAAAATGGCACTGCATACGTCAACTTGGGGGCCATTTGGGGTTTGCATGTGAAGCTAGGCCACTCCGGAAGCTAGCACATGTCTGGGGCCTCTCTGAAGCAGAAGTTGAGTTCTTCATTTTGCGTAATGCTGAGCCTTTAGAGGGCCTCGTTGGCACGGGTTTGAGTCTTGGTTGGTCTTACCTTGGAGCATCAAGGGGAACGCTCATCATAGTGGCACAACTTGCTCGGGGCTCTTTGGGGAGCTAGTGGGCCATTCTCCCATGCTCGAAAGGCACTTTTTTTGGCGCGGGTGGGCACGTGGTAGGCACATGAATGCATAATGACCTGCTTTGCTTGAGATATCCCTGAGCGGGCGTCGTTTGGGGAGCGCTGCTATTAGTTTGGGGCTGCCTTTTGTTGAACGGGGAGGTGCGCGCTGTGGTCGCAACAGGGACGAAACGCTAGCGTAAACAAAACGTGCGTGCGACGTGCTTCATGCTTGTGCTCTTTGCATATGCAGCTACCGCGTTTAGAACTCAAGGCTTGACTAATGGGGAACTTGTTTGAGGCCTCCTGGGGGCTGGCTTGGGCCTCTTTGGGAACTAGTTTGAGGGCCTCTCGGCGGCTGACTGACAACGCTATGACACTTCCAGCTTGTGTGTTTGAAACGCGTTGGCATAAGGGCTGAGGCATGTGACACCTTCTCTCTTGTCTAGCACCTCGCCCCAAGCGCCCTCCGAACCCACTGCAGGATCTCTCGCTTCGCTCCCTCGGCCCTTCCAGACCCCCCTCGGCGCGCCGCGCCGAAGACGCAGGGCAGGGCGGCAAGGGGCGGAGCGTCGCAGAGAAGCGTAGCAGCAGAAGGTTACAACAAACAACTGCATGCTGCTTTCCAGTGCTGCACGGCAGGCGGACGGTGGGAAGAGCGAGGCTGGCAAGGAGGGCATGGAGAGAACCAAGGTAGAGGGTGCAAGGTGAGGTGCGCCAGACGAAGGAGCGCCCCGAGACTCCTACAGAAACCCAGGATCCCCGACCGAACAGGAGGCCGACCCTGGAACGCTCGCGAGGCAGCAAAGTCAGTCGATCCCGAGACTACTGGAACTGGAGACCCCGAACCCCCCAAGGCGAACGTCATCGCATGACGGCGGATGTCGCCACGATGGTAGCGGCAACATTTTGACGACGATGGTGCTCATGCTCGTGGTGCTGCTCTTGGTGGCCCGATGGCGGCGATGCGATGGTCACGATGATAATGGTTAGGAGGGTGCGAGTGGTGAAAGTGATAGCAATGCTCCTGAAAGTAATGCCGATGACGGCTGTGCGAATGATACTGACATTGGTGGTGACGGTGCTGCACATGCGCACGGCGACCCTCGCGATGGCAATGCAAGCAATGCTGCCGCTATTGGGGCCCACGGTGTAGCGACAATCTGCAGGGCGATGATGGTGACGACGGTGAAAATGGCAGCCTCAGGCACAGAGAAGCTCTAGCCAACGCGAAACCCTAGGGGAACCGATGCAGTCCTGAGAGGCCAGGCATGGCTAGAGGGGGCCATCCGACCCTCCGCATCTTGAGCTCAGAGGAGCCACTGCAGACAAGAAGCCCTCCAGAAACTTAGACCCTGACGAGGCCCGGGACTTGGCAAATCGGAGCCCTCGAAGGATCTAAGCCTCGTGGGCCCTGAAGGCCCTGGCTCGCGTGGAGCCCTTGGCGCGCCCCTGGGGCCGCAAGGGGCGCCGAGGTGGTGGTCGCGATGATGAGCATGATGGCGATTCCGGTGATGATGGCACTGTCCCTGCTCGGCTTCAGCCAGAGGCTGCGTGCGCAGCAGAAGCGCCTGCGATCGCAAAAGAGTCGAACGCTGAGCACGCGCCCCAGCTGCTCTCTGCTGAAGGGCAAGGCGTGCGCGGACGGCGCAAAGCAGTGCGCAGAGCGAAGCGCTGCAGCAAACTACAACGCGTTGCAATGCTAGGGCAGAAGCTGCTGACGCGGCGCCGTGCAAACACGAAGCCCCACCACCCACTGCCTGCTCACACGGGCACGGCAAAAGATCACCTGCGGTTGCCCCCATCGCCCTCGACATCCGCGACGAGTTCGCCCTGCATCTCACGCGAGAACTCTGGTGCGCCGTCGGCGAAAAGGCCCCAGCGATCGAACGCATCTCTGGTGACCTTCTGAACGTTGGCCAAGGAGGCCCTGAAGCCCCTGATGGCGCGAGCCTGGCGCATAATGATCAGATGCTGGATCCTGGGCTTCTTCAAAAGCTTCTTGACCATTTTCTTGTTCCCAAGGTTGAGAGTCCGAAACCATTTGCCAGGAGGCTGCGGCCCCGCCAGAGGATCAACAGACTTGGCCACGAGCTCGGGGGCCGTACTCTTCCCTGGTGCGCAACGGGAAACACTTGAACCTCAAAAGCTGACCGTGGGTGCTTGATTCGCAAACCGCTACGGAACCGCTGCGTTCGACGTCAGAACGCAATGGGGTATCGCAATGGGATGCCCAACGCCCCCCCCGCGCCTCCACCGCGCATTGCACAAACCTGCGATGTCGTGAAAGAGCCGCGCTGCGGCGCCCCTGGGGTTTCGTGAAGACGCGCGCGCGGGGGGAGAGGGGGGCAAAACACGACGGGGCGATTAAGGGGGCCTAACCTCTGGACGCACGCCCACCACACGAACATAACTCGGGATAAGGCATTCGCATGCAATGTCTGTCCTGGCGACTCAGAGTCTGGCACCAAGCTTACTGGTTGGCGCACTGGCGCCAGCGTGCGACATCCCCCAATAGTAGCGCACCCTCCCTGCCAGAGGTTTTCCATGACGGCGACATAGCGGCCAACCCCCGTGCACCGCGTCCCATGGTGGGTGGAATGGGGGTGAAACATCGGTGGGCGATCGTGCGTTCTGGAACACAAGGACATGAAGACCCTTTTATGTAAACGCCAGGGGGCCCGTACACTGCGCCTGTGAGCATTCGTTAGTTTGTTCTGCCAGTCTCACCGAATACCTTCAAGACCCCATTTCCCATCTCCAAAACTTCTGGAACTGAATGTACACGTCATGTTAATATTGGGGACCGATCCTGTCTAATTCAGGGCTCCACGAAACCCCTTCCTGATATTCTCAAACGGGGGCAATGAGCATTCTAGGTGGCATCGGCATGGCCCCTGGTAACTAGATCACTAACACTAGCACTCGTACCCAATGGAACACCCACCCACTTGTCGTGGACGCAGAAACCACGCAAACAGACCCCGATTCGACCGATCGCGCGCCGTTCGGGGCCGCGCATGCAACCACTGTGGCGCATTGGACCTGGGGGGGCTACAACTAAAACGGTGGCGGTAGCGCCAAAACGTTTTGACGGCCGCTCCCGCCCCCTCGCCGCACTGCGACCGCCGCCACCCGCCCGTGCCCACACGCACTGCGAAGATTTTGAACGCGCCAGCACTCACACGTTCCTGCGGCGGCTAGCCGCTCGCCAGAATCATGCGAGGCCGTCTTTGTTCGAGCGCCCGCGACAGCGCCTCGGATTCCCTGGGGGATAGGTTCCAAGTGACTTTGCCCTGGCCGACATAAGGCGGGCGCCAATCGCGGACGTTGCACAGCTGAGCAGCGCCGCCGCGTGCCAGCGCTGACCACCTCGCACGGCGGCCGCTATGAACGCGCGCCAAGCGGCGAACTGGCGCCCCAACGGCGCAAGCGACTAAACCACGTCGGTGGCAACCTCCGCAGGGCCGCAACCCTCGATGACGTCACGGTCGGGGGCCCCGCGGCGCAGCGACCCCCCCCCGCGCCACCTGGCCCTGGGGTCGATTGTCCCTGACGTGTCTATCGCCGCACGGGCAGATTGTTATCCACGGCCACGGACGCGACAAAGCTGGAACGCGTCCACAACTCCAATGATTAGCCCGACTGGCCTCCTAGGTCCAGAAATCCAAGGACAGGCCGCCGTCATCGCAGGCCATGCCATGGCTTCAGGACGAGACCTGCGCGGCCGCAGCCAGCGACCTGAAGCTCGAACCGCGCTCGCTGGACTCCATCGGCATCCAAATCTGGTTCACGCCTCTCCCCGGCCGGCTGCCACTCTGGAAATCGCGAACCCAAAGAGGCAAAAACTAGATATGTGTCTTACGTGTTTCTATGTTGTTCGCGTTCTCGCGGTTTCGGGTTTCCGACGCTCCAAGATGGCCCCACAGGCACCAAAGACTGCCCCAAGACGGCCCAAGAGGCCCCCAAGAGCGCTCCAAGACAATAAAAGATGTTTCCAAACCTGCCCAAGAGGCGCCAATTCGAGCCTTCCGCTCCCAGAGGCCCCCAGGAGGCCCCGTAAGGCCCACGAGGCCCCCAAGAAACCCAAAAAGAAGCCCCTAGAGGCACCTAAATGGCACCCCAAGAGGCTTCAAACTGCCTCCAACAGGACGCCGATATGTCCCCCGCGATATCCCAACGAACATCCTACAGGACCTACAACCCACGCGCGGTGGCGGAGTGGGCCGACATCTATCTAATATACACACACGCGGGAATTTCTATGAGTGAAGGGGGCCAGACGGTTTCACCGACCCTGGTACGTGGCTGAAGTGGGGCTCTGCAATGCGGAATGTTGCTGTTGTTGCTTGCCAGCCCCGCCCCTCGCTCCACCAAATGTCCCAGGGGGATGCGCCACAACCAAAGTTCCGAGGCGAGTTCAGCCGTGGCGACGAGAGCACGACGGAAGCCTAACAACCCCAGGGTCCCTAACGAAAGAAACCGAAATAACTCCATGGAAAGACAGGACACCCCCCGAACCGCGTCTTGCGAGGCCCCAGAACTTGTTCGGAGAGAATGTGCAGCCTGTTAGATAATAAAAGAGAGGGGGCAGCAGTAGCACGAGGAGGCAGACGACAAACGAGGAGAAGGAGGAGGAGGGGGAGGAGGCGGACCTCATATTCCTCCTCCTGCTCCGAACGCACCCGTCCTCCTCTGACGACGGGGCGCATGTCGCGTTTGACGAGTCGTCGTGAAGTGGCGGCTGGCGTTTGTGTAATACTGTGCTGGAAGTGGGCGCGGTTCGATTCTGCCCCGCAATATATGCCATGATGGTATGCTATGCTCTGTTGCGGACGGACTAGCGTGACGTCGTGGCGCCTTTCACGTTAGGTATGTTTTATACTCGGTCGTTGCTGAAACTGTTCGTTTATGTGGCCAGCCTGGGCTACCCGCGCATGTCGCGTATGATAGGCCGCCCATGCTCGGTCTCTGCTGGGTTATACTCGATCGCATGTTGTTCGTTTCTGTTCTGTTCTATACGCATATGATTGTTTCTGCTATGCTCTCGACGAGGCGGCGTGACGTCGCGACGCCTGTCCGTTTGAGAAGTCGTCGGCTCGATCGTTGCCGCGCCTATTTTCTTGTGGCCAAGCGCGGATGCTGACAGTGCGCCCTTGATCTGTCGTTGTTCCCTTAAGCCGTGTTCACTTATGATGTACCCGATAAGGTTCTATTATGCGATGCGGCACTATGATACATTCAGCTGTCGACGGGACGGCGTGGCACCGTGGCGCCTGCCACGTTATATGCGTCGTCTGGTCGGTCGTTGTTGCGTCTGTTTGTACCTGTGGCCTCGCCGACCTCGGCGCGCACGTCACGTTTGATCCTGTTTTGGATTGGCCTATATGTTATGGCATTCCTCTTCAAGACTGCTCTACTTCAGTCCTCTTGCTTTGGCGCCGCCCTGCACAGCCACAACCCCTGGCATTCCAAGGGGAGGGCGCTGACCCTGAGAAAAAAACTACGGCTGAGCTAAAACCCCCAGCCTCCAACAACCTACAGCTCGAGAGTGCGGCCAGGGGCGGGGCCGCCGAGCCGCCAGGGCTGTGGCCGGGGACGACGCCAGGGACGATGCCATGGCCCACTTCTGCCGCCGTATGCTCTGTTATGGTAACCTCTGTCAATGTATGATGTGTTATGCTATGGTAGTCTCTGTTCTGTGGCACCACGTTATGGCATGATACGTATGCTCAACCAGGCCTGGTTACACTATAATGTTATATGTGACGTTGCGTAGGATATGACCAGCTCAAAATGTTAAACGAAATATAGCCAATCGTGTTACACCTGAGTCGTGGACGTAGAGGCAGGAGTAAGAGAACAATTCTGGAATGGTGTGCTGGTTGCGGTGGGTTCAATGCGGCAAGACATGTTGACTTCAACATGTTCTAGGTGTGCTGTGCTGTACTATGTCTGTTCTGTTCACCAGGGGGTTGCGTGACGCCCTCACGCCTGTCACGATAGATACGTCGTCCCATCGTTCGCTGCTGCGCAAGAGCGTTCATGTGACCAGCCTGACCTCGGCTTGCCCATCGCGTTTGAATATATCGTGGTACAACATACAACGCAGTGATGCAATGTGTTGTCATGTTACCAAGTGATGCGATCATGTGCTATGCTATGATATAGTAAGCCACTATGTGAAATGCAGACTGTGTCATGTTACGTTATGTCATGGTGTGCTCTACCAGTGCTTGGTAGGACGTGTGGTGCCGTCGTATGCACTGGATGCTTCATGCCAGTGCGCACGCTGTTATGATGTCCTGCGATGTCCTGTTCTGGTCTTTTACCTGGATATTCACAATCCCTGCAACATGTTCCGATCATATATCATGGTCAGTGGGCTCCGCAAATGGGATGGGTAAGAAGGGATAGTGCCGTCAAGCATAACATAAGGTAACACTGAAGGGAAGAAGCCGGCCCACCGGCCTACGCACGCGCGCGCGCCGCAAGCTCGTTCCTTTTCCGTTTCCCTAGAGCCAAAGTAAAATAGCTGCGGGAGCAGAAGTAGTCAGTCAGTACAGCAGGCAGACAGCGCGCGCAAGGAGAGAGAGCAAGCAGGGCGAAAGATTGGTGGGGCGGAAGGGGTGCATTGACTGTTCTGGCATACTATGGAATGGTACGCGTTATTTTCCCATGGTGGTATGATCAACTGTGCGATGCTATGCGATACTGTGTTCTGTCACTCCTTGTCATGACATGATGTGTCATGGTACGCAATGGTGTGTGCTCTGAGGCTGTCCTACGATGTGATATGTTGTGCCATGGCATATGATACTATGGCACGGTATGGTATGGCAAATTACGGTATGTTCTGCACGGTTCTCATTTGAGGTATGGTGGTATGATCTGTGCTGAAAGGTGTATACTATCATGCCGTATGGCGGTATGCTATGCTATGTCCTGCTATGATGTAGCATCGTATGCCGCGCTATGTCATGCTATGGTTTCTCATATGTGATGCGATGATACGTGTCATGTACTATGTGTTGTGATGCTGTTATGTTGTGGTATGGTCTGTCATATTATGGCATGGTCTGCTCTGTCGTGTCACGTCATGGTGTGTTATGCTCCGTTATTCCCTACCTAGGCTCTGCCTAGAAGGGTTCTTACCTTAGAGCTTAAAGGGGCCGGGCAATGCTACCCGCCCCGGGCGGTTCCCCCAGCATCCGGCCGCGGTTCCCCCAGCTACGTCCCCTTAGCTTAGCGTTGCTTATCTCATCTAGCTCAGCCTAGCTTAGCTTAGCTTAGCTTAGGTTAGCTGTGCCTAGCCTAGCTTAGCTTAGCTTAGCTTGGCTTAGCTTAGCCTGGCCTAGCCTAGCTTAGCTTAGCTTGGCATAGCTTAGCTTACCTTAGCGCAGCATAGCGCAGCGCAGCATTAGCACAGCATAGCACAGCATAGCATAGCCAAGCATAGCATAGCATAACATAGCATAGCTCAGCATAGCATAGCATAGCGCAGCATAGCATATCATAGCATAGCACTGCTTAGCACAGCACATCGCAGCATAGCATAGCATAGCACAGCATAGCCTAGGATAGCATAGCATAGCATAGCATAACATAGCATCGCCTATCATAGCATAGCGCAGCATAGCATAGCAGAACATAGCATGGCATATCATAACATAGCGCTGCATTGCATAGCATAGCATAGCCTAGCATAACACAGCGCAGCCGAGCGTACCCTAGCATAGCATAGCATAGCATAGCGCAGCATGTCCCTAGCATAGCATAGTATAGCATAGCTCTTCATGTAGATGTAGATGCAAGTGTAGATGTTAATGTAGCTGTCGGTATAGATGTAGATGTTGCTTTCCTAGCTGCTCCAAGTCCTAGGTAGGGTCGCAATGGGAGAATATGGTGCTACGTATGATCCGATATGTCATATAGTCACGTGTTATGCTGCTTCGTGTTAGAATATGATATGGCATGGTATGTGAGTCTGTGTCACGTTATGTGTCGGTATGTTCAGTTACGCCATGTCTTATTCGGGTAAGCTTGCGTTGCCATATGCAGGAATGCTCTTTGCTATGATGCTGTGCTACGGTATGCACTGCTCTGCCATGGTGTGCTGTATTACGAAATGTTATGGCATGATCTTGTATGTTATGCTAGAATATGTCCTGCTAGGTGATGTGGTGTTATGCTCTGTTCTGTCAGAGCTTATACTTATACTTAGTGCTGTGCTGTACTAAATTATGTTAGTCTGCAGTACCGCTCCGTCATGCTATAATTTGTCGGCGTGAGGCGGAACACTCGGGGATACTCGGAGGACCTGGTGATCTGGCGGCCGCGGTATGCAGAGTGGCGCGAGGCGGGACATTCGGGTACACTCGGGGGACCGGGGGATCTGGCGGCCGCGGTATGCAGAGTGGGCGAGTCGGCGCGAGGCAGGAAACTCGGGGACACTCGGGAGACCTGGGGATCTGGCGGCAGCGGTATGCAGAGTGGCACGAAGCGGGACACTTGGGGACACTCGGGGACACTCGGGGTACCTGGGGATCTGGCGGCCGCGGTATACAGGGTGGACGGGTCGGGAGGTCTGTTCTTAAAACCGACCCCAGCTTGCCGGGTGGGGAAGAAGACACGAACACCTTGATCCTCGAACCTCGACCCACAATCCTCGGTCAGAGCAGGACGCCTGTCTCGGGAGGAGTACTGGCCAGGCTTTCGAGGAAAAACGACAACATTAAAATCTGCACCCCGAGGATCCCGAGGACGACAACGAGGATGAGGACGAGGACGCATTGGTGGCCCTGCCGAGCCCAAGACGGGCCACCCGCGACCCTTCAACCTCGACCCTCGAAACCCAAAAGCTCCAACCAAACAGTTTGAAACAGTCACATGATGCCTGTTTGTGTTGCGTCAAAGCACCCAACCATGTGGCGTCATGTTTTTTTCAAAACGTGGCTCCCTAGAGGTTTGGACCCCTTTCCCTAGGACCGAATCTTCAGTCTGGGTTGTTTCCTGGCGGCCCTGTGGCCCGGTGAAAACCCAAGGATCGGAAAATCATAGAAGACCTTATGTCGTGTTTTTGCTCGCAGCCCGAGGTCAGGGTGCATCAATCATTGAACCTTGATCCCAAGTCGAAGCGGCAGGCCGCGTTGAGCCCTGACTGGCAGATCCTAGGGCCTTCGTAAGGGCACCACTTTGGAGGCCGGCTGGACCACCGGCTTCCCCCGCAACTCGGGTGGCGGTACCTCACGGCGGCCGATCCGTCACCTCCTCCTCCTCGAAGATCAAAGCTGATGGCACTGCCAGGCGGATCCTCGATACCATCTTGGTCCTCCTCCTCATCATCATCTTTCTTCTACTCCTATTACTCGCTCCCCCTCCTTCTCCTCCTCTTTCTCCTCCTCCTCATCCCAAAAATCACCCTTCCTCGTTCCTCACAATCCTCTTTCCTCCTCGTTCCTCCTCCTCATCGTATTTGCTCCTCCTCGTTCCTCCTCTTCCTCCTCCCCTGTCTCATAATCAGCATCATTATCATCCAGCAGCATCAGCAGCATAATCATCGTCCTTCCTACTCGCCATTCCTCCTCCTCCTGGCTCCGATTCCTCGCTTCTCCTCATCCTCCTCCTCGTCATTATGCTCTTCCACCTACTCCTCCTTCTCCTCCATGCTCCCCATTATCTCCTGTAGATATCGCTCCTCCTTTTCCTGCTCCTCCTCTTCCTCCTCATCATCATCATCATCAACAGCAGCAACAACAGCAGCTGCAGCATCGTCATCTCCGTCCTCCTCGCTCCGCCTCCTCCTCATCGCTCCTATTCCTCTTCAATATCCTCCTATTCCTGCTCCTGCTCCTGCTCCTGCTCCTCCTCCTCCTCCGCCTCCTCCTGGTCCTCCTCCTTCTCCTCCCCCTCAACCCCCTCCTCCTCCTTCTCTCCTCCTCCGCCTCCTCCTCCTCCTCTCCTCCTTCTACTCCTCCTCCTTATCCTCAACTTCCGCCTCTTCAGCATCAGCATCATCATCATCATCAGCATCATCATCATCATCATCATCATCATCAGCATCAGCATCGGCAGCATCAGCATCGGCAGCACCATCAGCATCACCATCACTATCATCACCATCAGCATCATCATCAGCAGTACCACCGTCGTCGCCATTACCACCATCATCATCATCATCATCATCATCATCATCATCATCATCATCACCATCAGCATCACCATCATCATCATCAGCATCATTCTCATCTCATCATCAGCAGCATAAGCATCAGCATCAGCATCAGCGTCATCATCATCACCACCTTCATTACCAGCAGCATAACCATAATCATCATACTCATCATAAGCAGCATCATCAATCCTCAACATAATCATGTTCAGCATCATCATCATCAACATCATCTTCAATATCCGAATCGTCGTCACCATCGCCATCGTCGTCATCATCATCAACAAGATCAGCATCCTTATCATCGCCGTCGCGCCGTCACTTTTCCCGAAGTCATCATCATCATCCTCCTGCTCCTGCTCATCCTCCAATGCCTCCTGGCTCCTCCTAACTCTTCCCTGCGTCGCCCCCTCCTCCTCCTCCTCCTCATCATCATCATCAGCAGCATCCGCAGTACCATCATCAACATGATCAGCATCAGCAGCATTATCATCGTCGTCATCAGCCTCATCAGCCTCATCAGCCTCATCAGCCTCATCATCATCATCATCATCATCATCATCATCATCATCACCATCATCATCATCAGCAGCAGCAGCAGCAACATCATCAGCATCAGCATCACCATAATCACCAGCTAATTCTAATCACCAGCATCATCAATTTCACCAGCAACAACGTCAACAACACCACCAGCAGTCCTTTCCGCCTCGCTCCGCCTCCTCCTCCTCCTCCTCGCTCCTCGTCCTCATGGTTGCTCCTCCTCCTCCTCCTCATCATCATCATCATCCTCAGCCTCATCGCAAATATCGCCATCCTCACCATCATCTCAATCCTCCGTATTACCATCGTTATTATCATCCTCATCATCATCATACTTGTCATCGCCATCAGCAGCATCATCCTGATCATCGTCGTCGTCATCGTCGTTGTTGCAACCTTCAGCATCATCCGCAGCCCCGTCTTCATCTAATGCCGCCTCGCTCCTCCAAGCTTCTCCATGCCCCTCCTCCTCCTCCTCCTCCCTGCTCGGCCCTCGTCCCCTCCTCGTTCCTCCTCCTACTCTTCATCCTCCTCCTACTCCGCCCTGCTCCTCACCATCCTTCTCATCCTCCTCATCATCATCATCGTCATCATCACCAGCAGCATCTTCACCCTCATCCTCATCGACATCCTCAGTATCATCTTCGACAACGTTTTTTGTCGTCAGCATCATCAAACTCATTGCCACCATATCATCATCATCATCATCATCATCATCAGCAACAGCATCCTCATCAGCATCATCAGCACCAACATCACCACAAGTATCATCATCAGCAGTGGCATCATCATCATCATGATCGGGCCAGAAAACCTTTTCAGACGCGCAGCGTGGCAGAGCGGCAGGTTACAAAGTTAAAGGCACGAGCTGACGCACGGCCGCCTGGGGCGGCTGCAAACAATTACAATTTGGTCTGGTGAGGCCTGGAGATCTCCCCCAAGGCAAGAGAGAGAGAGAGAGAGAGAGAGAGAAAGAGAGAGAGAGAGAGGGGAGGCAGGACGGGGTTCGGGACGGCGCAGCAAAAACCTTGAGGGTTAACAAAGGCCGCGGGGAGGCACGATCAATGCTGTGCACCGCACTCTCATGATCTACCCACCCCCCCTCTGGGCCAGAAAACCTTTTCAGACGCGCAGCGTGGCAGCGCGGCAGGCTACAAGGTTAAAGGCACGAGCTGACGTACGGCCGCCTGGGGCGGCTGCAAACAGTTACAGTTTGGTCTGGTGAGGCCTGGAGATCTCCCTTATCCACGGAGTGGACTGCTTAAAAGTCGCTTATGAATTAAATCTGACAGCACCCTAGTCAGTTCTTTAGGATAGGCTTGAGCACGTAGAGTATTCCAATTTCCAGAACAATCCTTACCCTCCAAGACGGTATGGCGGCAGCCTGTACGAGAACATAACCCCTTCGACATAACACATCTGCAATCTGCCGGAGAGAGATCAAGCCCGTGGGATAACAAAGTAGTGGTCTTTTTTCCAAGCCTCTCCGTACTGACAAAAATCAAAGTGCACAAACGCGGGAGATAAAACCTCGGCCCAAACAACGTCATCTTTGCATGCTTTTTAATAGCGGGGGCCTTCCAGACACGACTCGTGCGAGGGTTCTCGATAGTCCAGGGGATCCCAGCTTTAGACGCAGCCTGACAACAACGCACAGTAAACCACATCAACCGATTTCCATCCTTGACTTTCTTGGCGTCTTTTTCCCCAAAGCCCGGCAACCCCATGATAAACTTGGCTTCGTCCCGAAGTGGCCATGGGCCGGTGCCACCCCACCTTCTCGCTCTGCTCCAAGCATTGCAGGGCAACCCGAACCAAGGACAGCCCACCCTCCTGCTTCTAAGCAAGGCGAGGACACGCTGCTGGTTCTTCTTCTCCAGCAGATCAACGTCACTCATAATGTCCAAGCCCTCAGCTCGGACGCCGCGCCTTCTCAACGACGCGGTCAATCGGCCTGGTCCCGAGAAAACCTCAAGGCAGCCTTGGCGACCAACGAGTCCCCATCGAGCTCCACCCTGTCGCGGAACTGGAGATCTGCGCCGAGCTCTGATCACCTCCTGCCGCCCTTGGCGGCTGCAGGGCGGCCTTGCGCCCCATCAGCACGTCGTCGAGAACGGCCGCGCACTTCTTCACGTGGTCGAGGGCGTGAGGCACGAGCATCGCGAGCATGTTCTGAACCTTTCCGATCTTGGTATACCGACGAAAAGAGCTCTCGGTCTGCCACCTGCCGCGGGCCATAACCGTGGCCCTGTCCCGGCGCTTCCCGACGAGGTCGTGGGCGGCACCTCCGTGCCGGCACTGGCGCAGCGACAGGCGGTCGCGAAGTCCGAGGTCGAGAGCAGCTTCGTTCATCAATTCGTTCACCTCCTTCAGCTGGAAGTCGAACATGAAGGCGCCCCTTGCTTTGCCCCGGGCTCGCCTGTGCAGCGCCGCCCCGAGGTTGGGCAAGTGCCCCTGGTCGAGGATGAGGCTGTTGTCGGATGCCCCGACCTTGTCTGGCACCTTCTCGTCGGACCCCCTGATGATCACCGTGTCGTGGCGGAATCCCTGCCCCGCTCCTGCCACCGGCGGGGCCACGTCCTTCGCGCGAATGCTCAGCCCCTCCGAGGGCCTCAGGTAGCATGCGAAACGCACCACCAGGTACAGCGCCATGTCCTGCCTTCCCTGATGCGCCAAGTGCATCGCCAGCGCCGACAGGGTGACCCACGGCAGCGGCAGCAGGCTGGTGGGCGGAGCGACCTTCCTCCATCCCTTCAACGCCCTCTGGGCCCGCACCAGCGACCAGATCTGGCCGCTCTTCGCGTGGGCCACTGCAAACTGCACGGCCGCGATGGTCTTCTCCGCGAGCGAGGGGCCGTGCCCGTCCAAGAACTTCACGTCGAAGTAGTCCACGAGCAGCAAGTCGGTCTGCGCCGAGATGGCCGTGGGCAACCCGTTCTCCATGCAGAAGTCCCTGAACTCCTTCAGGTAGAAGTCGTAATCTTGATTCACTGTGGCCGAGACGCTGCGCTCCTCCAGGCGAGACTTCATGCCCCGCCACGCCGGCAGCTTCCCCTTCGGGTCGAGCGCCTCTTCGGCCTTCCTCTTGTGCGACGTCAGGTCGACCGCCGCCCGAGTCCCCAAGGGGGGCGGGGGGCGACGGTCCTCCTGGGCCTCCGTCAGCGCCGTCAGCAGGCGCTTCTCCTTGGGAGACATGTGGCGGTTGTGCTCCTCCTCGCCAGCGCTCCAACCCCGGAGGCTCCGGGGGCCAGTCGGCGCCGACGCCGGCGCACGGGAGAGGGTCCCAGCTGCCTGCTTCCTGCCGATCAGCTGCCTCTCCTCGCTCTCGCGCGGCAGCAGCGCGGGCCCGGCGGCGAGCGTCCGCCCGCTCCTCACGGCGCGAGGGTTGGTCTGCAACATTGAACTCGCTGGGCACCCAGCGCGGCCGAAGGCGACTGTTGGTGGCGAGCAAAAGGGCACCCGCCTGCTGGCATACTCTGAGTAAATCATATGAGCACGCGCGGCCCTTGGACAGCGCGAAGCACAACCCCA